TCCTCACTCAAGAAGTCTTCGATCAGTTTCGGGAAGTCGATCCTTTAGAGATATCTCTCCTTGCGTCGAATGAGAGCATATACAACAATTGGGAGGATATCCGGGAGCTTACACGAGCATTGAACGAAGGATCAGACGAAATTGGAGTTTCATATATAGATGCTGCGAATGTCCCAGCTCGAATCGAAATTCCGAAAGAACAAATGAAAGAAAATGTAATAAACGATTCCAAAGCACGCCTGAAGCGTGGACGACCTATTGGTTCTAAGGATAAAAATCCCCGAAAGAGCAAAGGGCCCAAGAAAAATGAAATGCTCGATTCGGAGGAACGCGTTCCAAATCAAAGAAATGAAGTACCTTATGATGATGGTATAAATACAGACAATGAAAATCATGAGATCTCAATTAATTATATCAGTAATGGTACATTATGGAGTCGAAAAGAAATCAAAGAGATTGATGATATATTCTCTTATAATGTATCAAAGGAAATTGATGAAAATGAGGATCCAGAACCAAGATCCATTTCAGAGTGTCAAAAGAGACCAGATTGGATTAAAGCGTACAAAAATGGGACCACAAAGAAGGCTTGGAATATATGTTGGGTATGACTCACCATCCATTATACGATACCTTGAGCCAAAAACTGGAGATATTTTTACGACTCGTTTTGCTGATTGTCAATTTAATGAGAATGAATTCCCACCATTAGGGGGAGAAAATGATAGAATGGCGGGGACTAAAAAAGATCTTAATTGGTGTACACCATCATTGTCACATCTTGATCCCCCAGCAAAACAACGAGAACTGGAAGTTCAAAGGATCATACATTTACAAAACATTGCAAATCAGTTACCAGATGCTTTTGCAGATACAACTAAGGTAACAAGATCATATATAGATGCTGCGAATGTCCCAACTCGAATCGAAATTCCGAAAGAACAAATGAAAGAAAATGTAATAAACGATTCTAAAGCACGCCTGAAGCGTGGACGACCTATTGGTTCTAAGGATAAAAATCCCCGAAAGAGCAAAGGGCCCAAGAAAAATGAAATGCTCGATTCGGAGGAACGCGTTCCAAATCAAAGAAATGAAGTACCTTATGATGATGGTATAAATACAGACAATGAAAATCATGAGATCTCAATTAATTATATCAGTAATGGACCGATTTCCCCACCACAGCGTACAAAAATGGGACCACAAAGAAGGCTTGGAATATATGTTGGGTATGACTCACCATCCATTATACGATACCTTTTATTTATATGGGTCACTTGACACAAACATTTATATGAAAATCCCGAAGGATTTAAAATACCCGAAATATTGAAATCAAAACCACGAGAATTATGCGCTGTCAAGTTACAACGATCATTGTTGGTATAAACGTCTGAGTGAACATTTAGTGAAAAATGGATATACAAATAATCCTATTTCACCATGTGTGTTTATAAAAAGGACGATGTCTGGATTTGTGATTATTGCTGTCTATGTTGATGATTTAAATATCATTGAAACTCCCCGTGAAATTCAGGATGCATCCACCTATTTAAAAGGAGAATTTGAGATGAAAGATCTCAGACAAACCAAGTTTTGTCTTGGATTACAAATAGAGCATTTGAATACGGGAATTTTTCTACATCAATCTAATTATACAAAAAGGGTACTAAAGCGGTTCAATATGGATAAGGCAAATCCCCTGAGTACTCCAATGATTAATAGATCATTGAATGTTGAAACAGATCCATTTCGCCCCCGTGAAGATGGTGAAGAGACACTTGGTCCTGAAGTACCATATTTAAGTGCAATAGGGGCTCTTATGTATCTTGCCAACTGTACTCGACCTGATGTAGCATTTGCTACTAATCTGTTAGCAAGATATAGTTCAGATCCTACACGAAGGCATTGGAATGGGATTAAGCACATTTTCCGTTATCTTCAAGGATCGATCGATTTGGGATTATTTTTCCCTAAAAGTACAAAACAAGAAATTGTTGGTTTTGCAGATGCAGGATATTTATCTGATCCACATAAGGGAAGATCACAAACAGGTTATATCTTCACAATCAATGGAACTGCATTAGCTTGGCGTTCTCAAAAGCAAACATTGGTTGCTACGTCATCTAATCACGCAGAAGTTATCGCGCTACATGAAGCAAGTCGGGAATGTGTCTGGCTTAGATCTTTGACTCAACATATCCAGACAGCTAGTGGATTATCAACCAATAAAGCTCCAATAATATTATTTGAAGATAACGCTGCATGCGTTGCACAAACTAAGGGAGGATATATTAAAAGCGATAGGACAAAACATATTCCTCCGAAGTTCTTTGCATACACTCAAGAGCTGGAAAAGAATAAGGAGATTGAAGTCAGATACATACGATCATGTGATAATGCAGCAGACCTATTCACAAAAGCTCTACCGACAACAATGTTCAAGAAACATGTACATAACATTGGAATGCGTCATCTACGAGACCTTTGATCCGATATACAGGGGGAGCGTGGAACTGCACTCTTTTTCCCTTATCAGGTTTTATCCCAAGGGGTTTTACTGATAAGGTTTTTAACGAGGCAGTATAAGACACGCAAATACATTTTGATTAACCGTAGCTCCAAGGGGGAGTGTTATAAATGAATAGTGAAGCTACGGTACTGTTCACGCAGCCGGATACTGTTCACGCAGCCGGACACTGTTCACGCAGCCGGGTACTGTTCACGCCGCCATACGGTTACTGTTTAGCCGCCATACGGTTACTGTTCATAAATACGTATACGTGAACAGTAACTTCGGATTTTCTATAAATAGCTCATTTCCCTCCTTCATTTGTACATAATTCCAAGAAAAGAAAATTATTGAAATCTTGTTCCTGGGTCTCTCAAACGATCGATTTCGGTTTCTAGTTAACGATCTGATTCTCGGATCTTCTATATTTCTTCGTTTTTCATAACAATATGAAAATTTTTCCCTTTAATTAAAGATAAAGAGGTTATGCCAAACCAAAGAAAAAGTCTTGGAGAGCAGGGCCACAAGAAAGAGATGCATATATAAGTTAAAGTCCATAAATAAAGAAAATTGTATATAAATATTTAAATTTTTATAAAATTTCGTATAAATATTTAAATTATAAAATTTTTATATAAATAATTTAATTTTTTAAATTTTTTTATAAATACTTGAATTTTTGAATTTTTTTTAAATAAATATAAAATTAAAATATTTTTTAAAAAAATCTATATCGTTAATGAATTTTAATTTTGTTTAATATTTTTTTAAATCTAGATATTTATATAGAATTTTAAATTTTTAATATTTGTATAGAAATTAAATAATTAGAATATTTATTAAAAAATTTATTGAATAAATTTAAATTTACAGATTAAAAATAAAAAAAAAAGGCCGTGGGGAATTTTCTGGGAAAACAAATAGACCATTGAAGAAAAGCCTCAGAATTTTACAAGACAGCACATATTCGAAAAGCCGCAAAGAGAGAGAGAGAGAGAGATCTTCTTCAACCTCCTATTGTTTCAACTGTTTCATCTTTCGCGCTCACTGTTCTTCTGTTTCATATCACGGTTTATCTTTTCCGATACATCTCTTTCCGCCATTAACAACCAGGTGAGAACTCTCTCGCTTTGTTGCTCTCTCTTTATTCCCTTGTTTTTCGTCTTCCGCTTTTCGTTTTCCCGTCGATTTCGAGGCTTTCTCGATGTGGAATGCGATTTCTCGAGGTTTGTTTTCGGTTTGATTTCTCTGTATATTCGATGGTGCGATTCGTGTATAGTGCTCTCTGGCAATCGCACTTGAAAACCCTATCTACCCTGTTTATCTTTTGAGTTTTCTGTTTGTTTCCAGAGAAATTTTCGGAGTACAAAGAAATGGTTTCTGGTGTCGGTTTAATAAGTATGAAATTATTACTTGTCTCCAACATTTCTGTTGGACCATCGACAATCATTGCCCGTTATTTACTTTTTCTGGTAATCTGTCATGGCGTTTTACGGAAAGTAATCATTCTTCGAGAGGGATTTTTGGGGGTTTTCCCTAATAAAATGGCTAGTTGGGAAGTGCAATGCCAAGAAATATATATTTATTTCCTTTGATTTTTGAATATTGCGTATTCTTTCCATTGGCTGCAATGTGTCGAGGAGGATATTTTCCAATTTGTGCAGATTCTTTAACTAATGAGAAGAGAGTTCGTAGATAGTAAATTTGAAGCCTTTGTGCATTTTCCTGTAGGTTTTGCAAATCCTCCACAAGTTTCTGGATAAGTTTGGTGTTGAAATTTGGTGCTCTTTCATTGTTCAGATAGTGTAGTGTGGTTTATGTGAGTTGAAGTTTCTGGGTCTGATGCTTTGATTCTGCAGTGTATAGAGGCTGGAGCTGGATAAGAAAAGGATCATCTATGGAGGGAGGCGTCGTAAAAGGTTTGGAATGCCCGAAGATTATGGTTGGGAAGGCGAGTAATGGGAACGGTTTGGAGAAGGCTCTGCCTTCTTGTTGCCTGAAAGCCAAAGCGTGCTTACCCGAGCAAGATGCCAAGTGCCATTCAACCGTTGTTTCGGGGTGGTTCTCCCAACCTCATCCTCGCCCCGGTCGTACTAGATTACTCCATTCTTTTCAAATACCCGGTTTCTCTGTCTTTCCTCGGAGTATTTGGTTTCTGACTCTTGTTTTTCAATCTTATTTGGTGCAGGTAAAGCAGGCAAAGCGGTCTACTTCAATAACCCTATGTGGCCGGGTTAGATTAGATGTTCATATGCTTGATCTCGTTGTGTCTTGTTATCTTAAGATTGGTCTTTCTTTTGTAAGGTTGTCTTGTTGGTTTATATATCGAGTTTCGATGTTAAATAGCCTTCTATGTTCGGTTTATCTGCCTGTTCATTCAGTTCATGTGTTCTTTCAAACGATGATTTCAGGAGAAGCGCACTCGCTAAAAGTTGAGAAAGTTCTGTTCAAAGACAAGTCGGAGTTCCAGGAAGTCCTCGTCTTTGAGGTCTTATCAGATTGTGGCTTTCTTCCATCTGCTTGCTCTCCATCTCCTTATCTCTGTTGTGTCAGCTTCTTTGTGATAACCATTTCTTTTCTCTTTTTTGTTCAGTCAACCGCCTACGGGAAGGTGCTGGTCCTGGATGGCATTGTACAGCTGACTGAGAAAGATGAATGTGCTTATCAAGAGATGATTGCTCACCTTCCTCTTTGCTCCATTCCATCCCCTAAAAGTGTAAATTTCTCTATCAAGTATACTATAGTTTTAATTTACAATGATCCTGTCCTGCCCACATATCTGCCACGACACAAATTTGCTCGTAGTTTTGTAGTTATCTTTGCTAATTGATTGTGTGAGGTGGATCATTTCTTCAATGTTGATCATTTTAGATATCGGTTTTTCTTGCTTTTCACGATGGATTTCATCGAAACCAAATGTTTTGCAGGTTTTGGTCGTTGGTGGAGGGGATGGTGGTGTTCTCAGGGAAATTTCTCGCCATAGCTCTGTTGAGGTTATTGACATTTGTGAGATAGATAAGATGGTTATAGACGTAAGTGATTGACCTGTGCCCCTTCAATTTTCCATTTCCATTTGTGCAAATTTCCAGGCGATATTCTTTTGGCCTTGTAGGTGTCTAAGAAGTACTTCCCTGAATTAGCTGTCGGATTTGAGGATTCTCGTGTTCAGCTTCATATTGGTGATGGTAATCAAGGATCCACTTTTACTTATTTCAGATCTTAACCTTGTCTGAACCTTGAAAAAATGATAAATACACATAGTTAATCTCCAATTTCTTTATTACAGCTGTTGAGTTCCTTCGTAAAGCTCCTGAAGGGAAGTACGATGCTATCATCGTTGATTCTTCAGATCCCGTGGGTATGTACATTCTGCTATCTTTTTATCCGCTCGGGTATCCACACTAACAGTCGAAATGATCTGATCTTTACTTGATCCTGCAGCAACTGATGTAATGTTTATCTGAAACATCTAAACTCCTACCTTGGTTCTTATGATTCTGACATTTTTCACCACTGCTTGACATAGGCCCTGCTCAAGAACTGGTGGAGAAGCCGTTCTTTGAAATGATTGCTAGAGCGTTGAAGCCGGGCGGTGTTCTCTGCAACATGGCGGAAAGCATGTGGCTCCATACCCATCTTATCGAAGATATGTTCTCGGTTTGCCGTGATACTTTCGAGAGCGTCCAGTACGCATGGACAAGCGTTCCTACATATCCAAGGTGATGACTTATTCAAAACCCGAGTTTTCTTCTAGTCATATTTATCATCTCCCGGGACCAGATTCCGTTAAACGAAAGCAAGGATTCAACGTTCTTTTTTGTTGCAGTGGTGTGATAGGATTCATATTGTGCTCTACAAAAGGACCCTCCGTTGATTTCAAGAACCCTATCAACCCCATAGAGAAACTAGAAGGAGCCATGAACCATAAAAGGGAACTCAAGTTCTATAACTCAGAGGTATTTTTTTTTACATTAAAAAAAAACAGAATCTCAACTAATCATAGACAAATCTCTTATGAAACGAAAGATAAACTTGTCTTGTTTGTTTGAACAGATGCACACTGCGGCTTTCGCCTTGCCTTCCTTTCTGCGTCGAGAGGTCGTCTCTCTTCAGTCGTCGTCCTGAGGGCCTCATATCTATTTAGGTTTGATTGGTCATTTGATAATACATTACCGACTTACCTATTCGGTTTATTTTATATCGAATTCGGTTATGTGTTATTTGATTCGGTTTTTGTATAACCGAACCGAATTACCGGACCGTGTTCAGACAGAGAACCTTTTTTGTACCTCTTGTGTTTCACTCGTTAAGTTTGGTCGGAAGAACTCGTGATGTTTCGTTTCTCGTTGTATGTTTACTTCGTTCCGCTTTCGCATGTACCAAACCAAGTGATTTGTCTAATTGATGGTCTCGCCAGATTAAAATAAAAATAAAAAAAACTGTAGAATGAAAGAAACTATACGAGAAATATAATTAAATATAATTATAAAAATTGTCATATTATACGATTTGAAAACTTTTTGTTTTAAAGTTTTAAAACAAATGAATTTGGAGGAATCCTCAAAAAAAGCCATCATGTACGATAAAAGTGGATGCATGAGGAGCGCCACGTTTGCTTCTCTCTCTCTCATCCTTTCTTTCTCTCACTACCCTCTCCCTCTCTCTCTGGATTCTCTCAGCTTTTGGGGAGAAAGACATCTCTTCAGAGTCTCAGATTCGGATCCGTATATTGAATCGCCGGATCTCCATCTGTCTGATCCTGATCCTCATCCTACTCCTCATCCGATTCGATTCTCTGTCAGAGCCTCTGCAATACTAGGATTCCGGCGATAGATCCTTCATTTCGATTTTGATTTTTCCCCTTTTTTCAAATCGGCTCGAGATACTTTTTTCTTACTTTCCTGCTACTTTGATCCGTCTCGTTTTTCGTATCGATGAATCGGATTGCCTGCGAAGTAAGGAGTCCGATCATTTTGTTCGGATGGATTTTAGCTTTAGACATAATTTAGTGTCTCTGTTTCGTTAGTTTTGATTTTATCGTGAGCACACTGGATACGTTTTGTTCAACAATTTGTGGTTAATATCAGCATAAATCTTTTTATTCGTCCGCATGGGTAGGGTTTTGTTATGTCAAACTTGTTCTTGTTTGAGTTGTTGTCGTGTAATATCTGGACCTTGTATGTAGAAGACTGGCATGTGATTTTCGAATCGTGTTCTGTACTCGTGAAATATCTAATCTCCCTCCAGTCCAATCAAATCTTTGTACGGACGATGTATTTTGAGATTTCTGATACAAGTAGTTCACTAATGGCAGACCAATTCTTCTTATTGATGCAGTTCCAACATTTCATGGAGAAACTTGTTTGAAGGGAGACCCATCCCTCTTAAATGGTAAGCAGCATCTTCATAAGGAGTGTCATTGTTCAGGCTGGTCAGATACGAGTTTTGGCTCAAGGAAGAGAACAGTTTAGCAACATTAAGAAGACCTTGAGCTTCGGTTTTGGCTTAAGCAGTAAGCAGAATTTCGGGTATAAAACCAGCACAAAGATGATGGTTGATTCATCTACAGTTGAGAAACGGGTATCCATTGTTGATATGTTGCCTGAGAAAGTTGATGATGGTGGATACATCAGTGGCGGATGGAAATGGTGAGTGTATCATACGTGTTAGATATGGATCGTGTTGTTGCGACGAGTATAACAATTCCTAGGGTGAATATGCATATATATAACTATGGAAACTTTGTGACGTATATTTTGTTGTTGTCATCATCTCAGAACAAATGTGATGAATGTTTCTTTCCTTTCTAGCTTACGTTTTGGGATCTTAGTCTTAGTTTAGTACAGTTAGTTCAAGTAGCCATGCTTATCTTCAAAAAATTTCATGTGATGACAGTGAAGATGGAAAGTTAAGCTGTGGGTACTCAAGTTTCAGAGGGAAAAGGTCTACAATGGAAGACTTCTATGATGTCAAAGCTGCCAAAATTGAAGGCCAAACAGTTTGCATGTTTGGAATTTTTGATGGTTAGATTCTATGATCTGCCTTCATTTCTGTTCGGAAAGACGGACAGAAAGGATCAATATTCACTTTGTTTTAAAAAATGTACTACTAGGCTGTAGAAGGTTTTCGTTTTACCTTGTAGTTTACTTTTCAACTTGGCATATTGTTGGTGAACTTAATTCAAAATATAGATGGCTGAACTAAAATACAGTCTATCTTGGTTTGCAGTTCTTCAAAAAGGACCTCTAATCTCTTACACTGTCAAGTAACCTGATCAATTGCGAGATTCTGTATCTGTACTTGCTGACTGAAACTTTTGGTTTTGCCAGCATGGACTGTTTGTTTAGCGATTGAAAATGTGCAGTTCAGAGCCTAAATTGTGCTGGCTCAACATTTTAGGATGCCTAGATATCTGTTTTGCTTCTCAATAAACTGCCTGAGTTTAGGATTATAACTTGGAATCACAAAAGCAGGACACCATTTGCTCTTAGTTCTCTTGCTTGCTGTTTCTTATGCTTCTGTCATCATAACAGGTCATGGAGGTTCACGTGCTGCGGAGTATCTGAAGGAACACCTCTTTGAGAATCTTATGAAGCATCCACAATTCATGACAGATACCAAGCTGGCAATAAGTGCGTGCTCTATTCCTTTTGGTTGTATAATTTATCATTGTTTTCAAGAAGTATACTTTGTGGATTTAACTTCTAACTCGGCCAAGCGTTGCAGCTGAAACATACAAACAAACCGATGCAGCATTCCTCGAATCAGAAAAGGATACGTACAGAGATGATGGTTCCACAGCATCTACTGCAGTGTTGGTGGGTAACCATTTGTATGTTGCAAATGTCGGAGACTCACGAACAATCATTTCAAAAGCTGGGCAAGGTAGTTGTTGTTGACTTGTTCTACGAGAGGTTACAATGCCATACAACGTAAATTGAGAAGCTTTAGCCAAAGATTGAGAGAAACCGGCTTCTAGTACTAATTCCTGATGCTCAATCTTTTAGTTAAATCACAAATGGGTGATTGTTGGCTAGTCATAAACACTTGTAGCTAGAATTTTCCTTTTTATACCACCTACCTATTTTCTTGAAAAAGTTTTTTATTCTGCAGCTATCCCTCTGTCTGATGATCACAAGCCAAACAGAAGCGATGAGCGGAAGAGAATTGAAAGTGCAGGAGGTGTTATCATGTGGGCAGGTATATGAAATTATTAGAATTTGCATATCATCATGTTCACTGTTCAGACAGGTCACAAGAAAGTTTCCCTGACTGGAAAGTGTCAGATCCCAAGTTTCCCTTAATTTGTTTACTTATGATGAGGCTTCATGTGTTCTCGGGCAAATCTCAATAAGATGTCTCCTCTTTATCGAATTATCCACGTATTCTGCATCCGAAGAACTTTGAATGAGAAAAACTTTAAAAGAAAATAAATCAATCACTAGGGTTAAAATATCTTGTGTGGATGGATATCCATTTTCAGGAACATGGAGGGTGGGTGGTGTATTGGCCATGTCCCGTGCCTTTGGTAACCGTATGCTGAAGCAATTCGTCGTTGCTGAACCTGAGATTCAGGTGCCTGTTTACTAAACGCGGCCTCTGTTACAAAGGCCTTACAATCTGTTTCGTCCTCTGTTTTTTTTTCCTTTCTCGAATTCTCGGGTGGAGTTGTCTGTGTCACACACTCGTTCTGCTATTTTTTGCAGGATCTAGAGATAGACCATGAATTTGAGCTCCTCGTGCTTGCTAGTGACGGGTTATGGGATGTGGTTCCAAATGAGGTACTTAACTGAAACTACTCTTAAGCGATTAACTTGAAAACATCCGTTGCACCACGGGTCTTTACTCTCCTTTTTTTTGGTCGATGGGTTCAGGATGCGGTTTCGCTTGCTGAAAACGAGGAAGAGCCCGAGGCAGCTGCCCGTAAGCTAACGGAAACAGCCTTCACCCGTGGCAGTGCGGATAACATCACATGCATTGTGGTGAGATTTGGTCATAATAATGATAAAACCGAATCACCAGAACCCGAACCCGAACCGGAAGTGAAACCCAAACCCGAAACGAAAATCGGAGAAACCCAGTGAGTAAAGTGAAGGGAAAAGAGAGCGTGTGGGAGATGCACAAACCCATAACTGGTGAGTAAATGTGAGAATTTTTGGGAAAGAGAAAAATGTTTTAGACGCGAAAGAGAGTTTGAAAGCGCTCCCTAAATCATCTGTCTTCTCCAATTTGTTTATTCATTGCTCTCTAAACACTGCTTTGGTGTCTGTCTTCTCTGTCTCTGCCTGTTTTTTCCTTTGTTTCTCCATCTCACAGAGGGGTTCATGATGCTGCTTATATATATATATATATATTTGATTAGTGATTATATTACAATGTTTTATCTCTCTCTCCGTTTGCACGTATTTCTTTCTCTGTCTCTTACGCGGATAATTTGGTAGGCTCTTGTGAGATAAATGTCTTTTTTTTTTTTAATTTAATGGAGATTTTCTTTTAATGCGCATAATTGAAATTTCTGGTGGTTACTGTCCTATTTTTTGGTACCCGACTCATGAGAAAAGCTCGTATTCTTTTCGTGAACTACGCAAGTAAGCACGGTTTCTGTAAGAGCATGGGTCTCAAACGAGTCAACTCGTCTCGTTTGAACTCAATTCGCCAGATTTATTTTTAAATGTGTTAAAAACAATTGGATTAGTTTTGTTTGTCAACTTTTCGATATAAACTAGTTGGTTTGCGAGTGGGAAATAAATATAATATTTTTTATTTATATTATAAAAAATATAAAATATTAAATTTAAATATATTAAAGAAATTATTTATATTATCATTAATAGACTAAATAGAAATATTATTATTTTATAAAATATAAAAATTAAATATATTTTTCTATAAACACGAAAAGAATAATGGGTCATCTGATATCATCTAGAGTAGGGGTGGGCGTTTCGGAAAACGATTCGGGTTCGGGACGAAATTAATCGGTTCGGTTATTTCGGTTTTACAAAAATAGGTACCAATTGGATTTTTATTGTATTCGGTTCGGTTTGATTTCGGTATCGGTTCGGTTCGGTTCCGGATTTTATTTAAAAAAATGATAGATTTCCTTTAAAAATATTCGGTTTTTTGGGATTTTTAAAATTCGGTTCGGTTCGGTTCGATTCTGGAAAAATTCGGTTCTCTATAAATGGTACCGTTCGGGAAATAACAGAGGTTTCGGATCGGAAAAAATACTGTTTTAACGGTTCGGTTCGGTTCGGTCCGGTTCTGAAGAACCGAACCGAAACGCCCAGCCCTAATCGAGGGTATTTCCCATGTTTCAAGGGTAGTGAGAGATGAATCAAACACATCCCAAAAGTGTTTTAATGAAGATCAGGTTTTGGCTGCTTATGACGACGACGACGACGGGATGCCTTGGTTTTACGCACGCATCCAAAAGGTGGTTTCTTTCGAGCCGTTTAAGATGAAAATCAGCTGGCTTAACTCGAGGAGCAACAGTGAATTGACTCGATAGGGTCATGTTTTACAAAACACACGTGGGGATTTCAGGACACCGACACGTTGAATTCCTTCTCCCACAAAGTCTGAGTTCGCGAAAGGAGCAAGAGGGGTCATTCAGATTTTCCCGAGAAAGGGCGACGCATGGGACAGCAACACTCCTGATGAAGTTACACACGAGTATGACCCGGTGGAAGTGCTTGATGGCTACAGCGATGATGAGCAGAGCGTGACAGTGGTGCTCTGTGGTCAAGGTGGCTGGGTTCAGGGCAGTTTTCGGCAGAAGCGCAGAGCCAGGTGATGTGGGAAAGACTCCAAAGGGAGAGATGTTTAGATTCTCTCACCAAGTCCCAGATTATGTTCTCACTGGACAGGAAGCAGATAATGCTCCAATGGGTTGTCGAGAATCCGTAGGAGAAGAGAGAAGAAGATCAATATATGATAAAAAGCACAAAGATTTATCATATTATCATTACAGGCACACAACAAGATCAGTTCTTGATTAATTTTTTTTTTTTTTTTTTTGGGTTTGGATTCTTGTTCTTGTTCTCTCTAGTGAGATCTTAGCTGACCCAGACGACAAGAAGATCATTATGATCTTTTTAATATCATATGCTTATAGCTTCAGTGCGAAGAGGCTGTCTTGTTCCATTATAATAATATATTCATTTTTAATTAGAGTGCGACAACCCATGAACACTCTTGATATTTGTTTTAATATAAATGCAAAACGTATTAATATCTTTTAATTATTCTCACGTTAGTGCTAGAAATGGGTTGAATATAAGATATTTTGAGTTTTTCTAATTTTAAATCCCGATGATTCACATCTTAGAGAGAATTCAATTTTAAATCCGGCAAAATGATATTCGAATTTATATATAAACACTTTAATATTCGGTGAGTGAGCAGTTGAAGTGAAATCATTCAGATGAATGAACGTTTTAAAAAGGATAAAACCCCTAAAAAAACCTCGAACTTACAAAAAAGTATATAAATAAACCCCCAACTTGAAGAACTGTCATTTAAACCCTGAACTTGATATATGTAACTGATTAAAACCTTGAACTTGCAAATTGTTGTTGTAATAACCTCTTAACCAGTTTGACCCAAAATTCAGGCCATCGGATATCCTCCTAGGATCGAAAATCTGAGATCATCTTGTCCACATAAGCATTTTTAAATGTTGTTTTGCCACATCAGCATATTTTAGTCCAATTTTTAAACCGGTTTTTGAATTTTAAAAAATCTGGTTATGTAAATTTAATAAACCTGTTTGAACCTTTTAACCCCTTTAATCATTTCCCCTTTCGCAAACCCTAAAATCAGAGTCTTCATTTCATTTTCATTTTTCAAGCTCGACTTCGCTTTCAAGCTCGACTTCGCTCCTCCAACCTTAATTTGGCCTGATTCTGCGTTATGTTCTTGGGTTTCGTCAAATTCGGTGTCGTTCGGTGTTATTACCGTTGGTCGAGCAAGGTTGGTGAGAATTTGTTTGTTTGTTCTGTTCTTAGTTATATTTCGGTGGCGATGCTTTTCTCTTCTTGGGTTCGATGCTTTTTGGTCTTGGTTTCAGATGGTTTTTATGTCTGATGGTTCTAGGAGTGCTTCAGTTTCGAATGGAAGGTCAGTTTCGGCCAAGAGGAAACCAAATCAGTATGTTGGTATCCCGAAACAGTGTGTTTGTGGAGATTATATTGTAAAATTGACATCAAAATCTAAGAGCAACCCAGGAAGAGAGTTTTACCGTTGTGCTTATCATGAGGTAAAATTGGAAAATTTATGTTACGTTGTTGATTTAAATGTTTTGTTTCTGAATTCTCGCGAAATGTGTTTTAGTGGAAATCTAGACATATGTTTAAATGGACTGATGTGGCTGTGATTGAAGAAGTCGAAATTCTTGGTGAGATGTTAAAGAAAATTGTGATGGATATAGAAGCACAAAACGAGAAAATTCTGAAGTTGAGTAGAAATGAGGAGCTGTTGGTGTTTAGGAAAGAGGTTCTTGGTGAGATGCAGAAGACCAGAGGAGAGACTGAAGCATTTAATGCTAATATGCAGAAAGGTTTTGTCATGTTTATGGTTTTATGTCGGTTCTGTATTATTATGTCTTATTGCGTAAATGAATATGTAATATGCAGAAAGTATTAGTTGTGTAATATGCAGAATAATGTGTGTGTTGTTGGCAGTGTAGAACTTTTGTTGTAAGTTTGGACAAAATCATGTGTTATATCAATGTGGTACTTTTGTTTCAATGTTTAAGATGTTTCAAGTGTTCCACGTCTAGATTCAATATAAACATCAATACACTGAAAAAGTAGATCAATAGCTGAGAGAACTGAAATTATAGTGTTGTCTAAAAACACATTGAAGTTTTACATATTGTTTTCGAAAGAAACATGTCTACAACCGGTGATATCCAACACATCGGAAACCTGTACCAAAAACAACTGAAACCTGTCTACAACCCCTGCCACAAAAAACACTACAAAAAACACTCATATTTCCGACGGAAATATCCGTCGCACGAAACAGGAAATTCCGTCGGTATTTTTAGTTTGCGACGGACATCGACGGAATAATTTCCGTCCGTTAATGGTTGTCGCAAACACATCCCGGTCGTGCATCCGTCGCAAATTTGCGACGGAAACAGCCGTCGTAAGTCAGTCGTTTTTAGCGACGGAATATTCCGCCGGGAAAAGCGACGGACTAACCGTCGCAATCTAGTCGATATGACCGACGAAAACTCCGTCGTTTTTCCATGGTAAACGCGACGGAAATTCCGTCGTTCAGTCGTCGCTCTGACCGACGGAATCTCCGTCGTAATTCCGTCGGATAATGCGACGGATCGTCCATCGCATAATAGTCGCAAAGAGGGATGGGAGGATTGGTCAGATAATAGTCGCAAATTAGCGACGGCTTATAACGACGGATAGTTCCGTCGCAGCTACGGAAAGCGACGGAAGATTTCCGTAGGATTATTCCGTATGCGACGGATTATTCCGTCGCATAAGAAATTTTTTTCGAAAAAAAATAAAAAAATCGTTTTAAAAAATAATTATACATTTGAAAATTGTTTTATATATTACGAATTGAAAAAAAAACCGAAATTGTTTTATATATTACAAAATTGAAATCTAACGAAATAAATTGTCCGGAAAATCATCGAGATTTTGGGGATGTTGCTCGTCTTGTTGAACCGATGGATCGGGATTGACGGCGGGACTCGGAGCAGACAAACCGGCGGAATCGGTCGGAGGCATAAAACGTTGCATCATCTCCTCTAACCGAGCGATCTTCGCCTGAGCTGCATCAAACTGAGCAATCTTCTCCCGAGCAGCTACAAGTTCCGCATAAGTCTCCTCGTGTTTTCTCTTCAGCTCCTCGACTTCACGCATCAGAGATACATGACGTACCACAGACGACGAAGATGCGTCACCACCCCCGAGCTGACTCGCCAACGCACCAATCCCGTAAATCCGACCTTTCGCATCGGGAGGAACGACCTTCAAAACAATATGTAAATAATATTTAAACTCTAACCTATTATATTATTTTAAATACAAAAATTACCTCGAGATACAAGCTGTTGATTTTCTGCGGAGTCAATTGCGTTGAACCGCTTCTCTCGTCCATCGTCATTCGATCGGTAATCTTCGATTGAATGGCCTCTTCAATTTCTTGGGCACGATGATCTACGTACGTCCCATCCGATCGACGATGCGTGTCTTGTACATATTGTTTTGAAGGTCTTGTAAGACACGCAGAGCAGACGGTTGAACGCCTTCTTTCTCGGCCTAAACAAGTTATACAAAAATATTAGTAAAATTTAAAAACAAATAAATCAATTTTCACAAAATACTTACAATATTGAGAGCAACTTTAGCAAACG